CGCGTGCGGGATCGATCCAAACGCGTTGGACAGGTCCAGCCACGCGACCACCGCTTGGCGCTTGGTTCGCTTGGCGAATTGGAAATAAATTCATTAATATTAACAGTAAGAAGCTGAAATCATAACACAATACTAATATAACATAAAGGCATGTAACAGAGTAGTTACGGGAAAATTATCCCCACTCCTTCTATTTTTTCTGACTTCTGCGGCATAAATCCCAGCGCGGCGTATTTGCCGGAGTGACCTTATAGCAATCGAAAGAATGAATTTTGAACCTTTAATTTGCTTTTTTATTGAGCATTATATGATTTTTTTTTCACCGAGTTATTGAAGCAAAGATGATCTCTTTTGCTTCAATGTTGAATAACTCGGTGAAAAAAAAGTTGAATAGATGAAAAGAAAGTCAATAAAAAAGGAAATTGAAGGTAAAGATTCACTCTTTCGACTGCTGTAAACCGCATTTTTGCGTGATTTTTATTTCACACCAGAGACTTTCGTAAAATTTGTATAATACAAAATTTTCAGATTTGACGGATATCCATTTGTATCTATATAGTTCCGTAAAGGATCAGTCGGATTGAAATATCAATTACTGATTTAAAAAAAGTAAAGATTTTGAGCTTTCAAATGTTTTTTTGATTGTTTGTCTGCAATGATTTTTCACCGAGTTAAGGTGTTCTGAATATTGCTCAATTTTGATCACAAAGTATATTCCATTAAACATACAAAATGTAAACTATTGCATCAATAGTATATGTTTTGTATGTTTTGAATGATTTTAATACATTGAATATACTGTATGATCTCAATATTTTATACAATTTGAAAATTTCTGTTAACCTATCCTAATTAAACATCGCTTTACTCTAATTGTTTTTACAAGATACAAATAAGGACTGAATTACAGTTTATCGTATGCATGCCTTTAGTAAATAATATATAATTATTTACAGATCAAAACGTGATACTGGGATCGTGGAAACGTGCCGAATTGTACGCAGCAAATATCATCGAAAACATGTCGCACTGGGTGTCCACTTGGATAGATTGGAACATTGCTTTAGATACGAATGGTGGACCTAACTGGATCAAAAATTTTGTCGATTCTCCAATAATAATCAACAGCACTGCCAATGAATTCTATAAGCAACCGATGTTCTACGCAATTGGACATTTTTCAAAGTCCGTACACCATACCTTTGTACCTCAATTAATACTTGTAACATTACATAAAACGTAATTTGTAAAAACGTAATAATTTGTAAAATAGTTGCATTTAATATCTGTCTACTGTGTTTTACCAATATTTCTATTAAGTATTTTTAAAAAATAGGTATGTCCCACCTGGCAGCAAGAGAATTGGCACAAAATCGGAGAATATCGCGAATATTCGAAAGATTGCATTTTCCACGCCTGATGGCAGTACCGTATTGGTGATCTTAAATCTGTGAGTTCACCCTTGTATAATATTCTAATAAAATATATAAATATATGAATTAGAAAACTGCACATTATCTCATTGCAATAAAAATCTTGTATATCTACTTTTATTTTTTTCAGGAACGAAGAGGACAAAGAAATTTTGATCCACGATCCAAAGAAAGGAACAACAAAGCTAAAAATTCTTGCAAAGTCCTTAAATACCATGAAATATTGGTGATGTAGTTAAAATATAAATCGGCTGTATAATATCGATAGATATATATAATACGTGTATAATGTGAACAGTTAAATTATTTTACAGTTCTTTGCAGATTTTAAGATCTATCTATTTAAATTTGAGGCAGAGAGATTATTAATATTTCAGAGTAATTGTATTGAAAGTTCGAACGTAATTGGCACGCATTCATATGTTCTGAGATAAAATATATATGTATATATATTTTATCTATATTATATGTATATACAATACACACATATATGTATTACATACGATGTGTATACAGGATCTCCCGACTTTAAATGGTCAAACTTCGGAAGCGCTAGAGGATCAATAAACTAAAAATAAGTCCTTCAGAGATATACTCGTTTTTGTTTCGTTTTGGAGAAAATCGCAAAAAAATAGTTTTCATTTTTGTACTTATTTATTACTTATTTATTCACACTTATTTATTGACGTTGTCACTTGCTCAATGCAGATTTCAAAATGTTGGCCTCTTACAGCAGTGGACACATTGCATCTTGTACGGATAGTTCGTGTTGCAGCCAAACACTCGATCTGGTCAACGTAATAACTCGTCAATCTCGTCAACTCTTCTGTATGGAAATCGGCGCGCATACTCTCGCTCTGCCTTTAAAGCATTATCGTTAAAGTCATACAAGAAAACATTAATATTTCACTTTAAAAACAATAACATTTCGTACGTTGAAAAAAAATATAGTCAATTTTAATAAATATTTAGTTAAATACTGCCAACTAAATATTTATTTAATATAAAGAAATATTTATTTGATACAAGAAATGTTAATTTGATTTAACAATAATTTTTTTTTACTGAACTGAAATATTTATTTACTGTAAATAAATGTTTAGTTGGCAGTATTGAACTAAATATTTATTAAAATTAACTATTTTTTTTTTCAGAATAAAATTACGTTTCTACGATTTTTTCCAAAACGAAGCAAAAGCGAGTATATATCTCTGAAGAACTTTTTTCTTAGTTATTGATTCTCTAAACACTCCCGAAGTTTGGCCATATATATTCAGAACATCCTGTATAAATAATACATATATGTATATGTATATAATAAGTATATACAGTAAGTATAAAGCTTTGAGAATATAGAATAAAACGATACATCAAATAAAACGTGCATACACAAGCGACACTAATAAATAAGCTATAATAATATTTAATATTTATTAATAGTTAGTATATAGATACTAGTATATATTAATAATCAGTAATTTATTAATAATTAGTAGAGAAAAGTCACCGATACTGACATAGGTCTCTTAAAGCGACACCCCTTATTTTTCAGAAACTAATTGTAATTTATTAATACTAATAAAATCATGATCTGTTTAGCTAATTAAAGAAGTACAAACTCATAATTATACTTGTGGCTTATTTCTATATCAAATCAGCTAAAAACGAATTTTATGAATGCGAAAATAAAATTCTTACGATTTTCTTTTGCAAATTGCGTAGTTTAAATAACAGTGACTACATTATTGATAATATTACGTCATTCTAAATGCTTGTAGTTTTCTAAATCAGTTTTATATCATTTTTTCTCTTAGTTTTTTCATAATACAATTTTATATTAAAAATTGGGGTGCAGCGCCACACCTGTCTGTAAAACAGATCATGAGCTAACTTAATCTTTATAATGTTGCTTTATAGTATTAAATAGCTCTATTAGAGCTGAAGGCAATCGTGCATATATGGAAAAACTCTTGAAAAATTATCGCATTACATATTTGCAGAATAGCATAAAGTAAATATGCATATAATTCAATAAAAATGTTTTATAACGAAATGAAAAGATTCTGGAAAATCTTATTATATCATTCACTTGTAAGTACTTTATACAGATCATTCCTGTAAAAGAAAAAGAATAGGAATACGTAGCATTACTGTCTACTGTGTCAGTTTTGGAGCCCATTTTGTCAGATGCTCATTTTTGCTTATCTTACAAAAAATTAATTATTGTAAAATTGCAAACAGTATTATAAAAACTGTTTATACTATATCTAATAGAAGACACTTTTTAGTTCGTACTCATGTTTTTAAAGTTTTATTTTTATCTTTTGTTTAAAAAATATTATCTAAAAACAAAATGGTATGTCGGTATCAGCGACTTTCCTCTATAATAACGAGGTAAAATTTTTATTTGTGAATATATACAGGGTGTCTCGTAAAGACCGTAACGACATTATAAACATTTAAAGTTAGTAAATCATACCGTCTTTTGCGCGCTCAGATGTGGTTACAATACAAAGTGTTAAAAGCGAAAGCTATTAATTGTCGCCTCTTGTTAATATTAATAAAAAGATTATACGCAAAGATAAAATTATAGATATTTCTAATTATTAGTATTTATTATTAAAAAAAATTTTTTTCCTACATTTAGATATTAGGGTTTCTTACATTTTAAATCTCAAAATGATTTCAGAAATCTCTCCGTAAGTGTTATTACGGTCTTTATGGGACATCTTGTATATATAGTCACTGTGGTCGTAACCATCTAATTTTAGTATTAATTCTAATATTAGCTGTAGATCAAGTTTTAACTGTAACAGCAAGCATAAGAATCATAACATAAAAAATAGTACAACTTCACTATAATGACGCTTCTATCTTGTTAAAATATCCGTAAGAATCACTTAATAATTTTTGTATACTTATAAAATGATGAAAATTAACTCAGACACAAATGATCCATCAGTAAAGAACTGAAGAATCATGTATATAGCAGCTAGGGTGTTAAATTCATTGTTATTATATCTCGTTAAAATACATATAATATATATGTATATCTTGCTAAAGTAGATATTTAAACGAGTTTACTTACTCTAGCTTAAGGCGAATGATAAGAAGAATCATTAACTCGCAAAATACTGCCAAACTTCCTTGCCTATTCTTGAGGCACAATCCTGCTGATAGCATAAATATGTAACGGTCCTGCAACTTGTCCTCCCTTTAAATAGAATTTCTACTCGAATTGTAACTTCCTCAACTGCACCTTATTTGCATCCGATTACGCGTTGTTAGTTCGTCGGTTCTTGCAATTACTCTAAACTTCTGCATAACTCGGGTCACTCTCCATTAAAACTCTCACTAAGAATTCTTACCTCCTGGGCAAGAATTCGCCAGATTTGATGAACGCCCCACAGAAACGGGCTTGCTCAAACGCTTTTTCAATCTCGTTGAATGTTTAAAATATCTTCCGCGTTTAATCCGCTAGGCTGACTATATGTATAACTTCAATATGTAATAAAGAAATGATTTAAACTTGAGAACACAAAGTTTGATAAAAGTCCTAATTATTTTTGCAGATTATAATATATAATAAAGAAATTCTTTGAAGCTTAAAATATACGAATTTGATGAAAGCCGTAATTATTTTTACATGTTCTTCTAATGAATGTCACTCCAACAGAATTACCCTTCATGAATCAATACTATATGCAACTTAATTATTATAATTTTAAATGTTAAGAATAAAAGAATTGAACAAGTATAATGATATTGTCTCTTTGAACTACGTCAAAAATAACAAACAATGAAGATGACTGTCGAAACGTTTACTTGTAATTTGAACGATAAAAGATACTTGTAACAACATCCTATTCTCTATTGTTTATTAAAAGAATTGAATGCGACATAAAAAACTATATTAATCTGCTTGAATAAAATGTAATTTACATAATTGTCAATAATTGTAAATAAATAAAAAATACAACTTGATGCATAATCAATCTTTAATGTACGTAAAATGATAGAAAGAAAAAATGTTATATGATGTATTTTATTCGAACCATTAAAAATGGCCCAAAATCGAAATATTTAATATTTGCTTGTTCTTTTCGTTGTTTTTTCTCATATTGACATAATTATATCGCAAATATTAACACATTTACAGTTTTGTTCTCTCTTGTCTTTTCCTTTTTATTGCCTTTGTATAAATTTTCATTTGTATAATTTTTATTAATCAACGGAATTCCCGTTAATAACTTTTTTTTCATCCCTATTCTGATAATTTGCACAATCTCATCAAAGCCAATCCGATAACAATGCCGGTACGAAGAAAGAAATTTTTTTATCGGATGCGTCAGCGAATTTCAGAAAATGAACATGCATGGATTTAGGGCGGAGGACATGCGCGAAAAGGGAATGCCAAATTTCTCTCGCCAGTGAAATAAAGCCCGGATCGAGGCTGCTTATCGGGTATACGCGAAGGACACTCGCGTCGTTTCCGCGTGCGCACATTATATGGGTTACTGGTCCAAGGTCTGCCTGAACTATGCCCCGGGTTATCGCGCCAACTCGTGTGCAGGTAACGCTGCTGCAGGCACTTCCTCTCTGTAACCCATATATTCTACTGTTACTTTGCCTATATTTGCGGGTCAGATTCCAACAGGAAATGTTATTTCCGAAGCTCCTCGAAAACTAGTCAAAATTTCCTAACATGTCACTTATGTGCATCACTTTTAACATTTTGTACATAAAACTACTTGACATTGAATTTCACGACACTTTACGAAAAAAACAAAGTTGTTTCTGGATAATAAATATCGTTATTCTGTACATATAATTATATTAACGTAACTATTTTTTCTATAATTATTTTATATAATATAAATTTTTTTTGAAAAACATTTATTTTCAAAGTCAAGAATTTTAAGGATTAGGCATACAGCCACGACGCTAGATAATATTTACTCAAGTCAATTTATTATATTGCACTAACATATGAAATTAAACGTTTCACTATTTTTCACCATCATCAGTAATTGTATAACTAACATCAATTTTTACCATTACAAAATATATTTTGTGAAATAATCTCATTAATTTTAATTGATTTGTTACAATGAATTATTAAAATTGTCTGTCGCTTATTGCAAACTATGTCTCGTTCTAGACTCTTCAAAGAAATATAATTTTGATTCGTCCTGATTTTATAATAGTATTCCAAAAATTATTATAAGAAGATCTCAACTTCTTGAAACGTTGTGTGCA